AGTTATAGTGCCAAAACGATGACTTGAACTTTTTGCTTTTTTCAGACCTGATGATGTTACCTGTGTTGGTGATGAAACCTGTCGATGGTTAAACAACTGTTATATTAATCTTTTGCGTGTGGGCATTCCAGACATGCACCGGAAAAATGGTCCGTTAAACCGAAAGTGTTTCATCCGTTCTGCGTTTTACATACGTACGCGTAGGTGGAAGGATGAGCCACGGCAAGATGCTAAAGAGTTGCAGATGACAACATCAAAGGAACGGTCCTGTGCCCACCAGTTTATCGTGTTACCTTGAAAAGAGTCGAAGGGCAGTGGCACAGTAGAGAAGAGACCTGTTTGAACACCACAGATGCAGAGTTCGAACGTGGAGGCCAGAGGGTCCTTGCAACAACAGTGAATTTCCTTGACCAAAAGATTTACCTCATGTCACTCGAGAAATGACCAGGAAATCGTTGACTTTCGAACAACGAAGGCAACATGGTGTTCTGGTGTGGTTATATCAGAATAGGCGGTTATATCAGAAGACACGACCGTGCTATCTGATGCAGGCTCCTCATATGGTTGCAATATGTCAGACAGGCTTTTGAAAGGTACCGTTTTTACTTTGTGCCACCGGAAATAGTTTTAGCGAACCTCAGTGCCAAGCCGTGGGAGATACGAAGGCTACCAAGTACTTTCTTCCAAATGCTTTTCTGTTGTCCCTCCCCCCTGATCAAGCATTTCTCCCTTCATGTTGCTGTAGTTGATTGGCAACTCGATCTGTCATACCATAAAACCGCTTTCTGGCATTCGAAATCCTACCAGTGATTACCTTAAAAATTAAGGCATTCGTAACTAATGGCAACGGATTTTAGAAACGTCGATTTCTCTTGGCTACGAACTTGTTTTTCCTTTTTAGCAATCTGCGACTGTCTTCTTGGCATCGTCCTTACCACTGCCTGCATTTCCCTGCTCCTCACGTAAACGGTAGGAGCATGAACGCAAAATTTATCAGCCATAATATTTCGACAGGTTGTTCTTCACATTCTCTGCTTTCACAACGTTAACGATGAAAACTATTTTCTTGTAGGTGATTCTGAAAATGGCTTTGCCAATCGTGTTGAAGACTTCCAATAACCATATTGCCGTGACTTCGATTTAGCCAATGAAACGACGCAACTGCGATCACGTGATCCGTAATCGAGACCAACCATCGACCGTGGCGAAATATCCCGTCGCCAACTAATTTATGGTTCAGTTTGACCGGCATAACCTGTCGGCGATCGGCGAGGCAGTCAGAAACGACACTGATTTGCACCGGCATATATCCGGGTTCACAAACGTGGAGCTCGTCACCAGTATCTTGACCATTGTGTTCGCCAGTGTCGGTTTCTTGTCCACGTTTACGGTGCTTGTGGTGTCAGTGCTGCATGCCAGCATCTACATGAAGTACTCGTTGGTGGTCGGTCTGATCACCATCGAGTGGCTCTATTGCCTGGCCAGTCTGTTGTCAGGCATTGAGCAACTGTCGCTGCTGCACCGGGGCACATTCGGAGCCCTGATCCCTGCCCACGAGTGCCTGCAAAAAGTATACCCCGTGATATTGATCTTTCAACGAGTCGCCCCCTTGTTCTTGTTTTGTATTGCTGTCAAACAGTTCACCGCCGTCTGCTTCCCGATCTTTTACAAAAACCACTGGCGACCAAAGAACCTTTGGCACGTGAACATGATGCTGTTTGGCGTTGGCGGTTGTGAGGTCGTCTACGCGGTAGTTTCCCTGTACCGAAGCAATCAGCTCGAACCGAATTGGTGTTCGTTCATGGAATGGCATCCGTCCAAGTATTACCCGGACATATTCTTCTGTATCGCTTCGACCATCATCATCATCATCACTATGGTCGCCTTTCGACGAAGCCGTAGGACGATCGTTTGTCCAGATGACCATGTGACGGCCGCGATGCAGGCCCGAATGAAGCAGAATGGTGTAATCCGTTGGCTGAGCCTGGTCGCCTTTTTCC